TGGTGGTTTGCAGTAGGAATAGTACAGTTCTGTGAAAAGTCATATTGTAAAGAACAAGACAGGAATCTTTTTTCGGTCAGCATTTTGTTTGAGAGGATTTTAAGAAATCTCAGTATTTGCAGTTAAGCAGAATGTGTATTTCAAATGGCAGGAAGGAGAGAGGAAGAGGTTGCTGTGTGAGCACTGAAAGATTTTAGGAGCTGAAAAAGTAAAAGCAGCAGCAGTAGTGAAGTTAAGCAGAGGGGAGGAGGAGTTGGTAGGGAGAAATAAGGCACGTGAAGCGGGAGTGGCCTGGGTGCCCTACTGGCCCTTGTGTAAAGCCCCTTCTGTACTGATCTCACACCTGTGTGCCACATTTTGGCTGAGGAAGCTGTCTGCAGGCAACTTGAAAATTGCTATGAGTGCACTGATTAACTTGTTTGTGCTCTTCCCCCTGCCTGCAAGTGTCCCTCAGCACTTCCGCTCTGACCATGCTGTGCTGCTGCCAGCTTCTCTTACTTTATTAAGCAGGGGATGTTCGTTTTTGCTGGCAAGCAAAAAACAAGCAGTCTTTGTAAATGATGTGGGAAAGTGGTCTGTCCTTTCTCACTGTAGCTGTCTGGAGCTTTGTTTGGAAATGGTTAAAAACGATTCAGAGTGCTGTGACTTCTACATTTTGCTTTGGAGTCAGTAGCCTGTCCCCTGAACTGTTCCTGCTTGGAGTGTCATGGAAGGGCAGTGGATGCTGTTGAGGAAAGTTGTGCTCTGGGTTGGGTGGGAGTGAGATTCATCTAGATGAGTGGGTACAGTTGCCCTCTGGCCTGGGCTTTGAAGTTCCGTGCTTTTTTTGAAAAATTAAGACAGGTCAGTTCCAAATTACGATGTGTCAATGTGTTACGCTTTCTGCAGCCTGTATTACCTATCAAATCAGCACGTCTGTGCAGAACTGGTTATTTTTAATGAGATTTTTGCACTCTGACATGAGGGATGTCTTCATCGTAGTCTAGCTGGTAGCAAAAAGAATGATTGCCTGTAGTCTGAACCTTTCACTGGTGAAAGGAAATCTGGACTGCTGAAGACTGGCAGCCAGATCTGTCTTCCTCCGAGCATCGGTGTGAATACTGTAAGGGAAGTGTCTCTTGCTACAGTAAGAGACAATCCGAAAAACACCAAACGGCTGTCTGCTGAGCTCCTCCTCCCTTTCCAGTGTTTTTGTCTGCTTTGATGCCAAACACCTGAAACAGGTGTTTCTCAGGTGTTTCTCACTCTGTGATGAAGGGGTGGAGTGTAGCTGCTGCCTGAGTTTGAGGATGGTGGAACTAGGTGTTTTCAGACTGCGTTGTGACCTGCTGTTTCTCATTCCGCAGTGGCCTGGCTGACACACTGAGCCAGAGGAAGAGCCCTTCTTTGCTTTAGCCACGTGTGGACTCAGAGGAGGAGCCGCTGTGTGACTTGAGCTGCTGCAAAGGATGGATCCAAGTAAGTGTAGTGCGGTGCTGCTACTTCTTACTCCTGTCTTCGTTATGATTCATCCATGAGGCGGCTCCATGACACTCATGGTCCAGCAGCCATGCTTAGCTGCCTGTCTTCAGCGATGGTCTTGTGCTTTGTGTGACTTCATCCAGCAGGTGACGGAATGGGAATGAGAGAGTGCTTGAATTAAGTTGGCTTTTCAACTATCGCTAAAATTGCGCCATGCTTCAGGGGGGATTCTTTCATTTCCTACATTACTGAAGGTCTCTTTTTACATGTCCTGTAACTACAGATTAATATTGTGAATATGCTTGATTCAAGCCAGTCCTACTTTTATTCTCACCCCGTGGCTGACAATAGTTTTGAACTGCTTTGAAAGGATGACCCCACGGAAGGTTGAGTGAAATGTTTAAGTATGGATACTTCACTTGATCTGTCAGGTGCTTTTCTGTCTTATTTTTTTACTGCCTACTACTGTTCCAGTGGACAGTGTTTAGTTTTTCATCTCTCTGCAGCATCATAACTCAAATACTGTTTCCACTGAGTTCTGACCTTGTTCTTTCATATTTTATTTGGTAGGATAGGTAAAGTATTTATCTGAGAACACAGATGACAGAGGCAGAATCTAGCAGATGCAGATATATCCATGTTATCCTCAGCATGCATCATGCTGCTAAACAGAGCTCTGATTGGCAGGTGTAAAAGTTTCCAGAAGGTTCTTATTGTCTTGCGGATAGGAGAACTTTTCAAACATATCCCAGAACCTCCATTTGTTAAGTTTTAGGACTGTATCTGTAGGATAGAAACCAGCCGGCGTGTATTAGGAGATGGTGGAGCTGAGCATGTGCGTGGATGAGTAGGGTCCTGATGTCTTTGGATGTGATCTCAGCTGGTGATGACCAAAGTGACTTCTTTAGCTGTGCCGGTGAGATAGAATGATGTTTACTGGTGTACATGAAGTGTAAACAGAAAAGAGTACAAGGTATGGATTGTCCGTAAGCATTGTATTTTCCTGCTTGCGCGCTCATGTTTTATGTGGTTTTGCTTTTGTTTATTTTTTAGTTTCGGAAAAAGTGTTTTTCTCTTTAGTTTGACTTCTGGTATAGCAGGAATACAAACAAGGTCAGATCTACAATGATCAGAAAGTTGTCACAATCAGAGCCTTTGGGTTCTTTAAATACCAGAATCGCACAAATAACTTCTGTGCAAAGCTACTGAATCTAAGTTTTTGTGTTTGTGTATTATCAGTATGTGAATTTAAACAGTACCGTGCTACTTCTTTCTACCATTAAAAACCCCTGAAATCCATCTGACAGTTTTCATGTCTAAAAAAACCTTGTTGCCTTCCCTAGGAGTAACTGTAACAAGAAATGAAGGCAGATTTTTCAGAGAAGGTATTCCCTTTCCTCCTTGCATGATGTGGTCACGTAAATGAAATGAGATATCTTGCGAGTTAGGCAAAGTAACTTTAGAGCATCTGGATTTCCTGTCTCACTCAGGAGCAGGTAGAGAACTCTAGGGACACTCACCTTTGGGTTGGGCTCACAGGATAGTTGAGGCTGGGAGGAACCTCTGGCAATTAACTCCTCTAACCCCCTTGCCTAAAAGCAGGGTAACATCGAAGGTTAGGGCTAGGCTGGCCACTGAATGCTGACAGATGCTCTCTAATAACCCCTCTCCCTCCCCAAAGGGAAAGGGAGTGAGACAGAGACTTGCAGATTAGAAAAGACTAAACAGCTAAACCAGCTGTAATAAACGATGATAGTACTAATAAACTAATGAAAATAATTAAATACATACAAAATCAGTATTGAAACTCCCTCGATGAATGATCATTGATGCTGCAGAGCAGGCACCAGGGATGTCCCTGACTGACTCCACAGCAGAGGGGAACTGGGCTCAGGGATGGGACTTGGGAACCCGGAGTAGGGATTGAGGGCAGAACGTCAGATGCAGTCCTCCTCGGATGCCAACTTATTGCAGTGCTTAACCCCTGTGACCCCTCAGTTTTATGCTGAGTGTGACCTGTGTGGGCTGGAATACTCTGTCGGTCAGATTTGGGTCACCTGCCCTGTCCCCTCCTCCCTGCAGGTGCCACCTTTCACTTCCTCGTGACCCTTTCCCTCCCCGGCACCCCAAGATGTTACACATGACCCAGCGTGGCCTCTGTCACCCCAGGAGCAGGCACCAGCCAGAGCCTTTGGGCACCCCAGCCCTGGCAGTGACCGTCACCACCAGCGTCACCCCTGCCAGCAGCAGCACTGCCTGCACACACACGCTGTCACCTGGGCTGTAAAATAAAATCACTGAACAGAATTGAGTCTCTTTAGCTCAAGGTGGGACAAGCAGTTTGCCCAGGGCCATGTTGAGCCCAGTTTTGAACACCTTCAAGGGTGGAGGGTCCACAGTCTGTCTGGACAGCAGAGTAAAATAGGGGTTTTTCTTACATTTAAGTGGAATTTCCTGTATTTTATTTTTATTTGTGTGTGTTGCCTCTTGTCATGTTGCTGGACACGACTCAGAAGAACCTGGCTCTGTCTTCCTTACTCCCCCCCATCAGGTAATGATATGAGTTGACAAGATCCCCCTGAGCTGCCTCTTCTTGAGCTCCCAGCCTGGTTTCATATGACAGATGCTCCAATCCCTTAAACGTTTTAGTGGCCCTTCACCACACACACTCCAGTAAGTTCATATTTTCTAGTACTGTAGGGCCTGGGCTTCTCCTGCTGGTCACGTGAGCTCTGGCTAAACCAAAAGGATAACTTCCCTCATGCTGCTGCTGATGTCCTTCAGGAACCCAGGATGGTTTTTTTTGTCACAGAAATATAGTTGCTTATGGTCAACTTGTCCGATCCCCAGGTCATTTTTTGCAAACCTGCTGTGTGATGAGCTGGTTTGTATAAAGGCTGCAGGTTTGTATGCTGCCTTTACTTATTTTTATTTTTTTTTTAATGCTGCCTTTGGACCTGAGCTTGTGCAAAGTGTGTCTGGGTGCTTCTTGTGCCTTCTCATCATAGGCTTAAACTGAAGTGCCTATTCAAGTGCAGCCCAGGTGTAGATAGGCTCCAAGTGACTTCTGACAAAGACTGCTGAATGTTCCTTCCTGAATGTACCCTTTCAGGTATGCTAGTAAAAGAAGTAACAATCAAAAAAATGTAACAATGAAAACTTGGATTCAGACACTAATCTGGCTCTTGATCCATGCATGTACCCTGGTTTTGAACGCAAGATGGAGAGGAGCTGTGGAAGCTGAAGAGCACATTAAGTGCAGCTTTCAGAAGCCAAAGCAGTTGAGGTTAAAGAAGTAGTTAGAATTAAAGCAGATGCACACTTAAGTAGCTTTTGTTATTACAGATTTCAGCATTGATTGTTGTAGCTGTTAAGTCTACTCAGTTTTATCTTCTGTGCACAGACCTCTATGGCTAACCTTGGCAGTTTCAGAAAGACCAAAGGTTTAGTTTGAAAGATCATTTTGGACATACGTTCATGACTATTCTGATAAAAACTTTTCTTTTTTCTTTGTAGATAATGACTACGGGCTTTCCAGAATGTTTGTTGGATACGAATACACCGAAGATACTGAACTGTGTGAAGATGAACTTTATCATGAGGAGTCATCCAGTGAGCAGAGTGTTGATAGTGAGGTAGAATTTCACCTCTACAGCCAGATCCACTATTCCCAAAATCTTGGGGAAATCAGCACGCTGGAAATGAATGAGGAAGCTGATGTCACAGGACTGACGGATCATAGCTCAGTTCTAACGGAGAAACAGTATGAAGGCAAGAAAATCGCTGAATCCAGTGATCGTGGTACTCGGATTTCAGATGACTCTGAGATCATCGTCTTGTCTGATACACCAGATGAAGACAGTGTTTACAAAAGCAAAGCAAAGAAGTCATCAGGCTCTTTAGCTCAAGGTAGAATGCACAACCACCCAGGATCTTCCACACCAAACCAAGCTGGAGCTGCTGGATGTAATATCCTGAATCCTGATGGGTCAGGCACAGATATTTCAAGGCGAAGAAAAAGCGGTCGTGGGAAGCTTCACCCAGTCAGTTCTCCTGGAGCTCTTGCCATCCAAGATGTGCTGGTAATAGATGATAGCTCCGATGAGGAGAGTTTGATATCTGAAAGCGATAATGTCGAGAGTTGGATGCTTTTGGGAGCCGGTGCAGATGACAGAGATGAAGATATAATGTTGAACCTTGAGGGCTGTGCAACTCCTGTCAGCGAAGGTTAGTGCTTTTTAAAATCTTTTGTTTGTTCTTCTGCATGTGGGAGGATTTGTCTGCAGTGATAGTGCTGTCAGTATTTGAGGAGAAAGATAAACCGAAAGCAAATTGGAGTGCGTAATGGGTGCAAAACTACGATGATAGAGGCATCTCTTTATTTATACCAATTCCATGCTATTATTTCAGTTGTGTTGCATATGGAAAGACGTTTTTGCTGGTAGAAATTTAGAAGTAATAGAGTGATTCTTGCTATGAACTTTCCAGCTTTCCTGTGAACTTAGTATTCCTAAGAGTATATAAGAAGTTACGGGGAGTGGGGTCAGAGAGAAAGAGGGATGTAATAAAGAAGGAATACCACAGTTTCTTATTGTAAATAAAGTAGGAAAAAATCCAAACCCAAAATGGTTTGACGAGTAAAGACGTAAATAAAGTCAGAGATAGGAACTGTGTAACAACAAAAAGTTTGCTGAGAAGTGCCGCAGGCTGGGAGAGTAACCAGTGCTCATCACTGAGGGAGCAGTGTCATTCCTCTTTTTGTGCGATGCAGTTTCTGCCCAGCTGCCACTGTCTGCCTTGCCTCGTTGCCCCGCAGTGATGCAATGCTGGGGCTTGTTAGGGCTTTGCGGTATGCTAGACTCGAGGTTACTCCTCAGGAAAGGGATGCACTGTGACAGGGGAGGGCAGGGAAGGGAGGCCTTCTGAGCTGGTCCTCCTTTCCAGAGCAGGTTCTGGAACGACTTCTTCTGGAGTCTGGCAGTTTGGGCTGTTGATCTAAAATTTACTGTGACTTCTTGTATGGATTCTGCACTGAATAATTCAGAGAGATTCTCAACTGCTAGGACTGGCATCGAACGTTTTGGTATTTTGCGAAATGTTCTTCTGTGTTACAATGTGGAAGGTCAATAAAGGCGATGCTAGCACCACAGGTTTCAGATGTGTGTTGGTAATAATTGTACTATGTAGTGCGTGCCTCGTCACCAGCGACTGGACACTGTTAGGCAATCAGTGTGCTTCTTGCCTGCCCACTGGTTTCTCACAGCACAAGCATCCAGAAGGAGCACGTCCTGCTGGCCTGGGAGAAAATAGAGAAAGGCCGCTGGGGTGGCAAGGGTGGACAGGCCAGCTGCGGCACGGGGGATGAGTGCAAAGCTTCTTTTTTTATATATTTAAAAATGCCGTACCGTAATTTTACGTGGTGCACTTGTGAATGAGGTGGGTTTGGGTTAGAGAGCATCTGTCCTTGTTAGCGGCCAGCTCAGCCCTAACCCATGACAGGAAACGAAATGTTCTGCAGGTTGATGCTAGTGAAGTTTTTCCTGGGGGTGGCTGTCCAAGCAGCACTGCTGTTCAGGTGCTGCTGCTGAGCTGTTTGAGAGGGGAAAGCAGAGAAATTGTCTTTGCCTTCTTTTCTGGTAAAACACCTGCTTCTTGTCTGTAAATATTCAGTAAGTTTTTGCTTAGAGTGGCTCTTGTGTATGTTTTTGCATGCCTGTCCGTACTCCTCTGGTGCACAGACCGTGGTGTGCACTTGATCTCAGATGGTCGATTAAAAAAACCAATGTGCTCTCCTGGGCCCCAGAGATTGGAGAAGTGCTTTCCCTGTGCCCGCTGCAGTGACAGGGCAGTGGTGTGGTTGTCACGCTGCAACCCCAGACAGTCACGTTATTTTTGGCATCTGTGTATTTTTTTCTCCCTGTAAATCCTTTAAAGTGCGTTTTCGAAGAATGAGCTTAAATTGCTAAATTTAATTCAGATCTTTGTATTTTCATATTCTGTCTTTCTCTTTGAACCTAGAGCTAATTAGCTTCTCTTTGTCTTCAGTTACACTGCCTCTTGGGGAGCAAATGTTTGCTGCTGTGTTGTGACTGCTGTGATGGTGATGCACTTTGTACACAGCACAGTTCACATATTTCCTGGATAGTGTCTATTTTTCTTAGAGCTGCTGGGCAGGCACATGACCTTGAGTTAAGTCTCTTTTGTTCGGCTTACTCTGTGTATTTCCTTAGGTTTAGATACCAAAATTGCTCAAGATTACAAAAACAAAAAACCCAGAAGATAGAAAAATGTTGAAACAGTGTTTGAGACTCTAAGCATACTTCCAAAATTACATACATTCAGTTTGGGAAACATTCTGTAATTAACTTATTGGAGTGATTACGCTTACTAGATGTAACATGAAAATGAAAATTCATGCCTTCATTCTTTATGGTATTCTAGCAGAGGTGTGCTGGTGCTAACTGAGAGTGGTTTTTAAAAATTTATACAGCAGGTTAATATGGGGAAGCGGTTTTGCTCACTTATGGTATGTTTTTGTGACAAGTGTAGTAATGTTCCTTATTCATATCTATATTCATAGATGTTGACAGTGAGCAAGCCACGTTCAAAGTCGGGAACAGGAGCAGGATTTTCCTGCGCTGTATAAACCTATTATAGTGTTAAAAACAAAAATCGCTTGACGTAGGTGAGGCAAACGTCGTTTGGGATGTTTGAATGGGAAGTCAAAGGTGGCCACCCAAGAGGCTCGCAAGTGCAACTGTTCTTCTCCTACTCTGATTTTTATCCCCAAAGCTACATCACAACCTCCTCAAGACCACCCCTTGGTTTTGCTGCAGCGGCCTCATGCCCGGACACGCCAGACATGCACAGCCCCGAGGGTCTGGGGCTGGTTGCACACACACATCTCTCTCTCCAGTGAAGCTTTTGGCTTTCTGCGTCCACGTGACTGTGCAGAATGGCCTGACATTTGCATGTGTTTTGTACAACGGTGAGCAAGTTGCCGGTGACCCACGTGACACAGAGGGACGGCAGGGCCGGGCTCCTCAGCCGTGTCCCAACTCCCAGGGAACGCTGCTTGGGTCTGCAGATGTTTGGTTCGGCTGCTCTGTGGTGATGATAGGGAGGCAAAGACATGGGCTTCAAATAGACCAATGCTGTGTTTATGCTTGTACGTAATGAAAAGCCAAAACAGCACCAGGATAGTTGTAGGGAACAGAAGCCGTGTACCTTTCTGATGTAAAATAACCATAATCTGTTTATTGAGCCTACACAGCATTGTATCTCCAGTTCTGTAGACTATAAAGGACTCCTTTGCTGAAACGTAAACATAAAGTTTTTAAATTTGAAGGAAGAAATGCATTTTAATAGTGTTTGTGTTGGGAAACTGTACTCTTCAAGATATTCTGTGCCAATGCATTTGAGATGCACAGAGTTCTGTTTTTGGGATTTCTAAAGAATGAGATCAAGTATTTGGGTGACCACACAATATGTAATTTGCTATTTCAGCGCTTGTAGTATCAGTAAGGATGTACACAGCGTATAGTGACTGGATGAAGCCTTGCCTTTTCCATTCTCCCCCAGACTGCCTGTGACTGTGCACATGGGATGGACCTCCCATGACAGTGTCATGGCGTGTCTGGTGTCCAGTTCAGTTCACACTGAGAAGGGATCTGAAACGTGAATGTTCTCTGGCTATGTGAGCAGCCAGTTGTGTCAGTCACTTGATGAGACTGTTTTCATGGCCCAGTCCGTGAAAGAGAGATGCTGAGGATCCGCTGGAGTCACAGATAACTTCTCGAGGACAGAGATGGAGCGTATCTCCTCATTCTCTTAGCTCCTTCACTTCTTACTTGCGTGCCCTGCTCTTCTCTAACGGCCATATTATTTTTAATATTCTCTATAAACAAATGACATTTCCTTGATGGTGCAAGTGCACAGATAATCTTCTCCCCACACAACCTCTTAGCTTCAGTCACCACTATCTGCTGTGACAGAAAGAGATGTCCCTTTGCCTCAGGAAATGAGCTCTGGTTCCTGATGGGAAACCAAGATTCAGCTCTACTTTCAAGATGTCGCCTGAAGGCAGAAAAGTTAAAGCTGGTCCACCAAGACTGCTGTTCAGTGCACAGCTGAAATGTTTTCCTCCCTTTTCTGCCATCTTTCCAAATGGATTTAGATGCCTTTCCCTTTTTATTTTTACTTCCATGACACATTAAATAACACTGTGTTTGTGCCTGTATTTCTGTACAATGCGGCTTTTTGCCATGCATCTGCTGGTTTCTCAGCACGTACAGCTGATTGGCATCCGTTCATTAATTGGGCTATGAAGATGGGACCTTGTTTCTTATAGAAGGCTATGAGGAGAAGCACTTGGCTGTATCCGTAGTGACTGTCCCTCCTTACCACAACTTGTTTTTTCTGCGGTGAGAGTAGTGCACAGCTTGGATTCAGAGTAGGTGGTCGGCCAAACTGAGCAGCAGCCACATCCCTGTGTGTGTTCCTTGCCCAACCTGCTCACCTGTGTGTTTCCTTGCACGGCATTTGGAAAAGTGCGCGCCGCTGCTGCTTGTGACTTTGCGAAAAAGAGTCATACCTGCTTCATGTCGTCTTTAAAAAATGGGTAGCTCGGCAAATCTAGGTATTTGGCATGATTTACCTGATTATTTTTTTTTAAATGTTTGCAATCCAAAAGAAGGTGTGCAAAGGCAATCATGGAAAACCATACCATGCTAAATGCAGTGAAATAATTTTTAGTGTGGGAGAGTGCCCAGGTCCTTGAAGGAGGGTTCTCGCCTCCCACCCCTTTCCTCCACTTTGCAATAACAGTATATATGATAAGAACATTAATCTCCTGTAGTTGGAAGTCTTTCATCCGTTCCTTCATTAAAAGCTTCCTTTTAACGTGTTTCCTCTCCCACGTATAGCTGCAATCCTAATCTCTGCTTTTTTCTTTTTTTTTTTTCTCACGGCTTTTGGAAAGACGGCTTTCCAAGCTGCAGCATTGATGTCCGGCCACTAAGGGGTACAGAAAACAGTTTATCTCCTCCCTGTTTCATCCTTTGCTCACCCAGTAACTTCCTCGGAGACTGCAGGCTAATGCGATCACGCTCTGGGCTTGGCAGGTTCACGGAGCATGGTGCGTGCAGTTGGTTTTGAATCCAGTGTTTCCGTAGAACACCACGTATGTGGCTCCCAGAGAGGAAGCAGTTGTTTTCTTCTCCGCTCTGATTTT